GTGTTTAATTTATTAGAATGTTACAACCCTGTTAAATGAAAACACATGAGTCTGGATCTGCAGGAGTTCTACAAGTGCGTATGGACTCCAACATCCAACCGCCACCCCTAGCCACTCAACCATCTCTTCATTTTCTAAGTAAATTGGAATTTCGTTTTAATTCACTGGTAAACAATTAGACAGAAAACAGATGTCACTGGCCATGTTTGAAAGCAGCTCATCCCCTTGGTGAATGAACTTTACATAAAAGAGTAAGAAAGAGTGAAAGACAGATGAAGAGTAAAAAGAGAGAAAATTAGAATGTTTCAATGTTGCATTAAAATGCTGGACCATGCATTAAATTATTCAAAATTGTTTCAGCACAGAGCAAATTAACATTCCTCAATTCGCTTTGAGGTTTGTTCTAAAGATATTTCAGACAGTCAACTGCGTCACAGAGAAAGGCCCAGACTAAGTGCTCAAGACCTCAATGGAAACTGTGTGATTGGCTGTTTCACCAAACATATTGTATTAAAAGTGACCTCAGAGATAGTTACTTGTGAGCTGCAAAAACTGAAAAATAAGCCATGGAGAAACAGCTTCTGTGCTGGCTTAGAAGATCCATAAGGGAGGTCCTGGTGATTCAAGAACCTGTCACATCCTCTAAGAAATGAGTCAATACAGGAATCACACATACGTGACCAGTGGGAAAAACAATAAAGGGCATGGTTAATCCCATACACACAAAAAAAGAAAAAACGTGACGTGCTTGTGTGAAAACCCCACATCATTATATCATATATATATACATATATATTCAAACACAACTCTCAATTCACTGACTGGTAGCTTGATGTCAACTACCATTCTTTAAGTAAACATTTTACTTTGAGAGTTGGGTTGACAGGTCCCACAGCACGGCGCTTTACATTGCTTTCCTACAAAAACCAGAAGCGACTAATCAAATGCAAAATAGAATATAAAAGTTGCATAATGATCAAGATTAAATTAATGATGAATCAATAGAGCCATATGGGAAAAACAAATTGTGCTTGATGTCAAGGACAAAAGCCCGAACAATTCAGAAATGTCATGAGCACAAAATGCTGAACCTCTGAGTCAGTCCTATGGGAAAAAAGGGTTCAGCCCATTTAGAATCGTGCAATTCTACTTTTCATCTCTGGCTAAATGAGGCGGTGCATCCATCATTCCATTAACGCTGCTCTAACAGGCTCCCAGTCACCCACTGCTTGACAGCAGGGACATGGGACATGTGGACTTACCAAAGGCTTTGATGTAAGTCTCACCACCATTAAAAACACAGACCAAGAAGTAGACACCAACAATGCCTGTGTGCAGACACACTAAGGCTTTCCATCAGCAGCACACATGCATGTGCACACGCCAAACACATGCGCACGCACGCACACTCTCTCTCACACACACACACACACACACACACACACACACACACACACACACACACACACACAGTCTGGTGAAACTGTTATTGTCAAGCCACACTGCTGTTTCCAGCTTTGACTGCATTGACAGGTATGTTGTAGATAAAAGAAAGATTTCTGGCAGAGTGCATGTGTCTGTGTCAGCTGTACTGAAGTGCTTTTTGTTCAAAATACAGCAGACATACAATAAAATGTTAATGCTAAACACTGCTTTCATTCATTAGGTCTCTTTTCTACGTATAAATGCAAGGATAGAGGCACCCAATGACAAATTAAGCTCTTGTCAATCTACTAAATACAAATGAACAGAGACATATACAGAGATAATGTGAGAACATTATTGATTTGTGATTAAATCAAATTAAAGCAGAACACTAAATTCAGAGGAAGGAAAAAAAGGGAGTGCTGAGACAGTGATGAGAAGGAGTACAGGCCTCCACTGCTCCACATCTGCTGGAGATATATGCAGTGCTTCTGGGACTCAGCCCCCGCCTCTCTTTTACCTTCATCTTCTTTCTCTCTCACCCTCTTTTCACTTCTCATTGGTCTTCTGGTTTGTGTTCAGATCAGGTTTTAACATTCTCAAATGTACTGTATGTACTGTCTTTATAAGCCATTGTTTTCCACAAGTAATTCGCTCTCTAAATCAAAGTAAGAGGCTGTGCGGTGTTCCTAAAAGTATCTGTTTGAGAGGCTGTGAAGGGTGGAACAACCCTCGTCAGACATACAGCTTTACTTTCTAAAATCTTCTCCCATGTCATTGCAACTTCCTGAAAAGTATATTCTGTGAGTGCTCACATTCATCAAACTATGAGTTGCCTATGAAATGTAAGCTTTTCCCTGCCTTACATATTCAATTTATAGCACCGTCTTGGTGCTCCATTCCACAGCAATGGGACAGTGATTGACTGGGTGATATTCAAACAGCAATGGAATTCCTGGTTAGGGATGACCTCCCAGATCTACTGTCTCTTAACTGTACTTATCTTTTTGCTTCATAACACCCTGAACTACAGCTGTGTCTTCTCCTCACAGTCTGAAACTAGCTGAGGCCAGCCTTATCTCCATCCCAGCACTGACATGTTTAAAGTGCAGGGGCCTGATATGATTCAGCACCCGGTTCGGGGGTTTACGTGAGTCAAGGCCATACAATGAATCTCCCCAGCCCTGTATTAAAAGTGATGTACAGTTGTGACTGAAGACAACTTTAAAAACAAGTGCTGGAAGTACTGGAGGTGTATTGTTTTACAGTCATCCCAAGCTTCTCCTGTATCTGCTGTCGGGGCAGGAAGGGGTTGTGGAACGGCAGCAAACTCAGAGACACATGCCGTCGTTGACTTTAAGTACAGAGATATTAGACAAATAAAAAATGGAAAGATTTACAATTATGCAAAATTATTTTTGCACCATTTGTACGTTATTTGTCCACCACCTAGCAGTTGCTTATTTAAACCATAGGTATATACAGTATTTAATGAAAGCTGCATAGTGATAGAGTCTGTAGTGGGGTGACTAGCAACTATTAGTATTTAGAAAAACAAATTTCCCACTTTGAAAGCACACATGAATTTTTCAAAGGAAAAGATTTCTCAGTTTTCCACTAGCAAGGGAACACAACATGCACAGACCATCTGACTCAACAAACAAATCTGATCTGTGCATGTCAGGCGATCCACGCACACACATTTAACAATTTGTTTATATTTGTTGATAAGTAAAAAAAAAACACTGACACAAATGGTTGTGTAAACAGGCCGCTTTTTGTTTCAAAAGCAAAAATGATCAGTTGAAGTTATAAATATGTACGTAAATATTAGTTATTCGGGTTGTGTGCATTTGTGATGAGGTGAACTGTTTTACATGCATTCAAACTGCTTGGTATTTGTACCTAAAATTACACACAGATTGTAGTACGCATTTCGCAAATTCATTTTGTATTTATTGTTGAGATACTAAAATACATTTGGGACCATTTTGAGTCAAATTATTATCCAGATTTTGACAGTGGGAGAGAGTCAACTACTACTTCCAAAGGCATTGGTCTTATCTATGACTGTCATATCACAGAACTATTTGCAGTTGGGGAGGAGAGGTTAATGATGATCTTATGATGTTCATGGCCTAGTTCACAGAAGAGAGCATATCTGGAGCAATGTCAGCTTAAGAAATGTTGGAGACTGTCCTGAATATATGATAACAAACCAGGCTACTGCTGTAGATATGGAGATGCACAGAGTTGCCATCATTAAACATACAACTTACTACATAAGGTCCATTAAAACTTTGAGCTTTGAAATCCGAATAGTATTTTTCATCTTTTAGAAGTGTTACTGACACCACAACACTTTGACTCCACAAATATAATTTGTGGTCAGGAACAGTGGTTTTTAAACCTACCCACAATCACAAGGCATCTGTATTCTCATTCAAGCAAAATGCTTGTTATTTTTCATTTTCTACCCACGTTTTTCTCTGTTTTTAAGTTACTCTCCTTCACACTGGCTGTCAGTCAAGGTCTTGATGTGTCACATACTAATAATTTCCCACCATCTGACAACTGTGAAAATAAGGGTTCCGAAGGTTTTTATAATGATTTTTTTAGTGTGTAGAATTTACCTCTGTATTGAGAAATTAGTGTGTTTGTGTGTGTCTGCTTGTCACATTTTCAATGTGTTTAATACGTGTCTCATAAACTCTCCAGCAAATCAAACAAACAAAGTAAACGTCAGTACTGTTCAGGTCCTAATGATGATGATGAGTGTTGGTGTTTATAGTTCAAGTGTTAAGTAAGCGCAGGTCAGCAGGAGTGTGGATGGAGGACACTCAGACAGAGACTCTGACACGGTACAAACCAACTAACCGTTTTACAGCGTTGGTCCATAGTGGAAACTCTGAATTCACACCTTCTGTTTCCACTGTTCAACGAACATCACCTCGTTCATCTCCTCTTCTCCCTCATCTCTGCTTCACGTGTGTCAGTGTGTGTGTGACTGTAATCTCCTCAGAGGATGAGGAAGCGACACGACTCGCTCAAATACAGAGACAAACCAGCTAAATGTTTGGCGCACGGGTGTCACCAAGGAATATTTTTAATCGCACTTCGCAGATTTCAAAGGTTCATTCCGAAGCCCTGTAGTAGTATAATAGTATTGCAATAATAATTATTGTACATATCTCTTAAAGTCCCACAGCACACCATTTTGGAACCACTGGTCTAGAGGCACAATCACATACTGCAACCTGACATCAGTGCAGCCTTCAACAGAAATGCTCGAGTGGTTAGCTGTTCATCCAGTGCGTAAAAAGACTAACTGCTGTTTAAAGAACTCATGCTGCTTGTAAAGTGACACTTAGTTGCCAACCTGGCTTCAAGGACACTTGACAGGAAAACACTTATTGCCGTTACTAAACAATCAGTTACACTGAAAGTAAAGAGTGTGTGACATTGTGAGCATAAAGAAAATATGTACCTGCCATAAATCCAAACAACTGAACCACAACTTCAAAATGAGCTTTAAAAAGACAATGTAGAGGAGAGGAGATTTAAATATCTCCTACCTGAGTTCCTGCAACTGTCTCCTTGCTGAGGGACCAGAACAGAAAATGCGAGCAGGTCAGGAGCAAGCAAAGATTCAGGCTTGCGGATCTCATTAAGCCAGCGACTCATATGGAGTTCTTTGGTGTCGGATGGCCCCTGAATGAGAGGAACCAGCTTCTCCTTCACCCCATCTCCTGAACCTGAGAGAAACAAATGAGAAACCAAACAAAATCATTCAAACGTCTTATTTTAAAATTGTGGCAATAAGGATAGAAAATACAAAAACAACCTCTTGTCCTGAGTGCTTCATGGAATCAATCCCTTTCATTTGAAGATCTGATCTTCACAATAAAGGCTTTTAAATACAGAGTATCCATGTTGAAATAAATTGCAGTACTAGTCCAACTAACCAGACTAACTATGCAACAGGTGAAATCAGTGAAATATATTCTAGAAGAAAACGGAGCAGGACGGACATGCACTAATTCAACAGTGATTCAGTTACCTTAAACGTTATATATTAATCATTTTATGCACCTAAAAGATTAGCTTAATCAGCTTAAAAGAGAGAATTAAATTATTGTTCTATGTAATTCTTTATTGAGAGCTGCATACATCTTATCATCTGCCTGGCATCATGTGTCAAGTTTGACCTGGTAAACTCAGTGATGACACTAGCTCCAATAACATCCCTGGCCAGTGACAGTAACCAAGGAGCAAACAATGACTGAAACACACTGCCAGACTAAAATCAACATTAAGATTGAGGAGAAGAAAAAAAAAAAAGGCATCAAGACTGAATGTGTAAACATAGAAGTTAAAGAAAGTAAAAGAAGAGTCTAGTCGGTCTCACTCTATCCCTCCTACACAGGCAGTAAAGTTTTAACAGGGCACAGCTGCACACACCTGGGGTCCTGGCGCACACTTTTACAGCTCCCAGGGTTCCTGAGGCGCATTTCACCGTCGCACGGCTGCAGAACTTCAGCTCCAGGTTTTGGACCGAGCCCTCGAGAGTCGGTGACGGGCCCAGAGATTTCACACCTAATAAAAAAAAAGAAAAAGAGGTGAAAATGAAGTGCAGTCCGGCAGGTGTAAACACTGCTGCTTGTGGCTTAGTCTAACACTTGATTGGCCTTTAATTACTCTTGACCCCTTTCTTTCCCTTTCCTTCTCTCCCAAAGTTGTGGAAAAACCAGGTGCTCTTTAAAGCAGATATCACCAACATGACATGAGGTGTGTTGTGTTTATCTGCTTGGGCAAGACAACTGTGGTGTCCTCCATTTTTAATCTGTCTCAATAGGATAAATATGTCAAACAAAAAAACAATCTTTTTTTTTTTTTATTCCTCTGGATGTAGAAAGCTTCCTGTGAAATAATTTACAGTACAATGATGGGATTTTGGATTTACTAGAGTAAAGTCAGGATATCATGGCCATGCTAATTTTAAAACGTGCACAGAAAGGATATTAAAAGAGGTAAAACCCATTAAATTCTCAAATGTTTGTCCAAAGGTTTTATAAGCTCCCAGTAAATCTACAGAGTAGAATGACTTGAACATTTTAGGTTCAATTACAGGGACTATTGGGTGTTTGAGTAACAGGCCAATATAGAGGATATATCTTTCCAAAAGAATATCCAATGCAGTCCTGTCTGTATCCATCTGTGTCAACTACAACTCACCTAACACCAGCATTACATCACAGGAGCCTCAACTGCTCTTCACTCTATGATTATTTCTCTTAATGACAGTCTGGTTTGGAGGAACCTTTCGCCTGCCATCTTTCCAAAATGAAACAGTTTGCACTGTGGTAAGGAGTAGTGGGGGATTACATACTTGCCATTATGATATGTCAATGTTATTTCTATGGTGAGAGGCTATTTCAAACACATAACAGGACAAAGAAGGAGAAATAACTGGATGGCGGAAAGATACTGTGGAGTAAAGGGAGTTCTGCGCCAAACCGCCTGTTGAGAGAGAAGAGGATCCATCCATCAAGTTACATTCTTCCAGTGAGCTGGAACTGTCCGAGGGAATCACATTAAATTCTTACATCACCTGTTCCAATAAGGCTTTACTTCTCAGAATAATCCACTCGTATAGTGAGCACTTCATTTCCTAAAAGTGTCCACAGTACTTTCTGACTGAGTTCACAGCTGAGTGGGGCTTTTTTTGCGCATTCACATGAGAACATGGAAATGTCAGATGAAGAAGGGAAATGAAGGAACCCTATCAGTATTAAAAGAACTGATGATTTCTGGCAATCGACTGATGCACAGACTGAAAAAGAGACTGGAGCAGATGGAAAACTGGCCCGGTGACACTGAGATCAATAAGACAGAGGCAGAACAAACAGCAGAGAGAAGCTAAAAAAGTTAAATATAAACATACATGCATAAAATTGATAGAGAAGAATGGAACAGATTTATTGGCTACCATGGATTTATTGCTTACCGGTGAGTGAGAAGGTATTGCATTAATAAGGCACAGATGAGTGCTGCCACAAGAGAGGCTATGAAAGCACAACAGGTCATTATTTGGCAACAGTCCCTGAAACTATAGTCTGGACATCTTAAGACTTTTTTCACTCACATCCTCTCTGCTCTCTTACAGTTCTTATTACTCCACTACCTGTATTCTATTCCAGACTCTTCTTTCACCTTACCCAATATCCTCTCCTCCCTTTCTCTGCCTGTTCAGTCAAATCATTACTGTTTGAATTAAATGTTGCACAAATAAAGATAACTTTGGTGGTTGCTTGATACCACTCACGGCAGTTGTTAATCTCAATCAACTAAATAGTTCAAATGCACATTTTAATGTTAAACAGCAGCCGCTGTGGAAAGGGTGAGATTCAACTAGACACATTTAACCAAGGGAATTACTGGCAATTGCTAAAATCCCTAACCACTGACTTCCCTCCGCTCCCTCTCGCAGACAAATTACCCTGCAACTTCTTCACCTGCTGTCTGAGAGGTCATCTATCAACCCAGATGTAAGATGGGAATGTTAATAACCATCATTCTGTATCCCTGCCTACCACTTAATATATCTGCAGGTCAAACAGAGTAGTGCTGCATGTCTCTCTGAGGCTTTGGATACCTGCTCCCTTCCAGCTTCCTCTGTCTATAGGACAACTGTTCCTTGGGAATGACTTCCTCCGAGAACTAAATTAAAAAACTGGAAATTGGAACCAATATACACTTCTGTACAGTGTATATTGCAGGTATTAATATGAATGTATTTACTAATTAACTGGCCATACTCTGCTCATACATGTACAATTGCTTTAAACAAACGTCAACAATGTATAAGAAAATGTGTCTCCATCGATTGGTATTCAGAATAAGGATGACTTTGACTCTCCTTATCAGAAATAAATGTCTGTTTTGATGTCCTCACTCAAATCAGAAATAAGCCTGTGATATAGTATAATGTTTCAGAACTATATGACTTTTTTAGTAATTTCCTCAATGTTTTAGCTGAGTTTAGCCATTATCTTATTTTCATTCCAAAAAATAAGAAGTGTGTATGTTCAAACTCATGGACAATGCACCTTATCTATATTCACGTACAGACACACATATACACAGGTAGACATTTGGGTTATTTGATGCAATCTAGTTACAGAGGGACAGACAGAAATGACACAGGCGCTATAAAAGCTAAGCTCACCTCTTCCGATGCATATAATAAAGCTTAAATACATTAAGGACTGCGGCAGATACTTGTCGTCGTTATTGCCTCAGTGAAACTTAAAACACATGACCCATCTACCTTGATGGAGGATGGCTAACGAGATCCAGTGATCATTTGGCCTTTTTAAACATTGCTGACAAAGACAAATTGTTGCAACAGTGATACATAGGTTCCCCACAGAGCAACTATTCTCCAGTTCCTTCATTCTTTGTAGCAAAGATGGAGATGTTAATGCAAGCCAATCTGGAACACGACAAGGGCCAGTCCCTCTACTCAGGCTGCTCTTTGATAAATGGCACTAGGGGTATCACTATAACATATCCCTCTTGCCAACACAGATGTCCAAAAGGGCACAGAACACCTGCTGGGGTGGTGGCTGTTGAGTGGGAGGACTCTGGACAATGTTTTGTCCAGCTGTTGGACTATAAAAACAAGTGGGGTACACAGGAAGAAAAAAAACACATTGGTTGGTAGTTTGTCGGCTTGAGGAGGGGTATTCGGTATGTGTGTATTATTATGTAGTGAGTGTGTGTTACAGCCAGATGTATGTGTTGGTGCATTACTGTGTGTGACTGAGTGAGTAAGTGAGTGAATGTGTGTGGTGCTGTTACTTGTCAAGCAAGGGCAGGTGCAAGGAGTACATAATCACACAGCTAGGGGCCAAAGGCTACAGCACTCCATCAAAGACTGAGAGGGCAGCCATGGGCAGCTGGATTTGCCATCCCGAACACTGAGAAGAGTGTGGAAATAAAATGAATTGAAGTAGGGATGTGAAGTCAGGCAATAAATGCTGAGGAATCGAAAGAAAAAGAAAGAAAGAATATAAAAAAATTGATGGGATATGGAGGCTGCCTTTTTTGCTTCTTGCATACCACAATATATGGCGTGCATATGTCTCAGTGTGTGTGTGTGTGTGTGTGTGTGTAGGACATCTGCAGACTTAAAAGCCATGCTTTACACATTCCAACATGTCCTGCCTTCAGTGCTTTGAAGAATAGTATGGGAAAATTGTCTTCCGATGATGTTGGAGCAGACAATTCTACATTTACAATGTTTCTGTTAGCAAAACACTATGAAAATAACTTCGAACCTCATTTGGATGAATAAGCCAGGCGGTTCAAGTGAGAACATGGAAATGTTATAGGATGGAAAAGGGAAATAAGAAAGACACAAAGAACTAATGCACAAGACTGGAGACTGAAGCAGATAGAAGTTTGTAACATCTGCCATTAAACAGCCATTAAATCAAGTTACATCCCCAAACTGCAGCCACATCAGACGTGAGAGGGGAGTTCCAATATTTTTTATATTGCATGTATTAATTCATTAGGTATCAGTTTTATATGTGATGATTGGATGAGAAGAGGATGTACAAAATAACCAAACCCTAAAGGGCAGGTAGACAGACGGAGACAAAGAGACTGTAAAGCGCGGAAAGCTCCAAGTCTGGCAATGGTCCACCAGCAGCTGCTAGGGGGCGTATTAAAAAATAGGTAGACATTGACAAGTTGGGTAGACCAAAAGCAGCCAGCTGAGCCATTAAGTGCTGATGTAGAAACAATAACTGTCTCTCCCAAGTCAGGAGGGGCTGAAGTAGAAGCAGTAAGTAGGAGCAGGAGGTCTGCTGGAACCTTGCCCAGTACTGACACATAGAAAAAATACAGACACATGCAGAGAGCGGGACAGGAAAACAGACAAGGTGAATGGTTTGTCCTGTAGTTAAAGCTGAGAACAGAGCAGCTCTGGCAGCGGACAAACACAAGACTGCAGGGACACTTTTAACAAAATCTAATTTTTACATGATCACAACTTGATTCTGAGAGCAGATTACAAAAAATAATAAAGATAACTTTACGAGTACATTAAAGGTATTCTGTTGGTGAAAGAAAACTTTAAATATTTTTATAGAAAACACTCAAAACAGCCAATAAATAAAAGCAGTTACAGTTAATGTGGTGTCCTATTGCTGGCTTGGGTTATAGTAATTGCAGTGAAACTCCACTTGCCATCAGGAAGAGATGCATTTCAGATTTCACTTAGCAGCAACAGCTGTTTCTAGATGAATGGTACAGCGACTGGGCAGTTTACGTGAGAAGTGATTGCTTCCATTGCTAAATAACCACAAAAACAGCAGACGAATGACTTCTCAGATTTTTAACATAAGAACCCTCACAGTGAATGGCGCAAAAGAGAGAGAGAGAGAGAGAGAGAGAGAGAGAGAGAGAGAAATGCTTCCCCCAATGATGAGGCCCAGCCAAGCTGCTTCCAGCTCACTGGGCAGAGGTTGTAGTGTAGTGGGGTTTGCAAGTGGTACTCGCTGCCTATAAAGGTTGTGGTGTAAAGA